ATAAAGGTTCAAAGGTTGTCCCTTTTACATCCTCGGACGAGTTTCACCGGCGTTGCAGAGGCTGCACTATTCACAAGGGAATCCTGCAGGAGACTCAAACAACTTTTCAAGATCCATAGCGACAGTGGAAGGCAGTTTTGGACAGTTTAGGATTGATGTAGTCAGCTATTTGCGCGATCGCAACAACTGAAATCTCGCCGAATAGCCCTTCCTGTTGTTTCCGTCATGGTAATCTCGTCCAACCTCTATTTTCCCTACTTTTGCGCAGCCTTATTTTCCTCGAAATTGGCAGATTTTCTCGCTTTCTTCACTACTAATGAACTATTCCCATCCTATTCTTCCGTTTTTTGAATAAAAAGGGGTACCCTCAAAAATATCGTGAACTGTGCTTTAAGTACATGCCAGATAACTGCTCAAAAGGGTCTCAACTAAAACTTGTACCCTACCACGGGAGAGTATAACATAAGTGGAGGGGATCTCGCCTGAAGCGTTGTAGCATCTCTCCGAACAAGTTTTTTCTCTACGCAAATATGGGTGTACGGATGTGTTTCAGAAATGTCGCTATTTTGCTAGATACTGTTGTATATTGTAAATCATCTCGAGTAGCGTTAAGCCCTCAGAAGGCAACAAATATCTCTGATCTTCAGGCCGTCGATTCAATGAAGGGTTCCAACTGGAAGCCTCGGACTGCAAAAGAATTTCAACAACGCAAACGATAATGCCGAGTTTGAAATAAGAGCATGGGTGTACTATTCTGTTCTACAGCTTAAAGACGTTAAATGACAGTGAAAAATGGATGACCAAATTCTCGTACAGAAAAAAGGCAAAAGTAGCCGACGTGTGGTGTGTTTACGACACTCGTCGCTGTCTCACGTTAACATGATCTCACATCAATTTGCATCGATAAAAGAATTATTTATGGCCGAGTCCTCAAACGTACATCGCTATGGTAACAGGATAAGATTCAAAAAAGGTGCCTCGACATCCGAAACCTTCAGCGAGGATCGAGGAGGCAGTTGAATTGTGATCAATATTCACGTTAGAATGAGACCATGACCCTAATTTATCAAAAAGTATCGCAAAACAGAACATAACTAGAAAGTTATGTGTATCAATGTGTAAAAGTAAACAAGACCCAGATTGAAAAACTAAGGACGAAGGACGAAGGAAAGGGCAAAAGGTAGGGAAGGAAAGGAGGAGATGAACAGAGGAAAAAAGGAAATATGAAAAACGAGAAGTGGTATCAACTAATAGCCATGACGGTGTAATAAAAAGGAAGCAAAAACCTGGGAGAGAAGAAGTGGCTCTGGGTAGGAGTTCAAGAATTCCTGGTTACTGTAGAAATGGGAATGAGATCTGGTTTTGCAAACTGGCACACCAAGGGGATGATAGAAAAACAAAATGGACAGACCAGAGCGAATGATTATGACCGATTACTATAAAAACATGATTAGAATGTCACGATTGCTAGTAAATGGGATGAACACAAAAGGTCATTAGGTCTGCAACGATAGGGGGCTTACGCTACGATTTTGTTGGGATTTGCAGGAATTTTAGTAAAACAAAACTATTCCATTAAAAACATATAGATGTGTGACGTTGTACGCAGTAGTCTCCCAACGAAGAAGAGACCAATCCAGCACATAATGGAATTATGAAAAGAGATATGAAAATTCAAAAGGTAGGGATTGATTATTAATTGACAGAAGGAACTTGAACTTTAAAAAGTAGGGATTGATCACATTCGGATAAAACACATCCCTACGATCCATCTTTTGAAAGTTGCCGCGATTATAGCTTACGATTGGGCGGACGAGACTTCCCACCTGATGTCCAGGTTAATCCGGGATTCGATTCCTAGACCATGCGTCTATGATAATGTACCGCTTACCGCTACGAGATGTTCAGATTATTACCTACTAAGCGGAAGTATTTCTCTAAAAAAGGAAGAAAAGTGCCGTAAGGGAAAATGAGAATGAAAATGAAAGAAGCACAAAGAAAGTGAAATGATCCGTGAGGTGTCAGTGACGGTTCGCGTTTTGTCGGGGCAGAGAAGGTCGTAGTAGTTGGGTACCTCGCAAGATAGCTGAAACCCCGTACTCCAATCGAAAGGAGCAAATCGAAAATGGTCAAACTGAGTATTCGATAGGAAGCTGAGTTTGATTAGACAAAGCCATGGAAAAAGGTGATGGGGTGCAAGTTTACGATAACACCGTATCCCTCTGGGAAAAGTATGAATATTCAAGTAGGGTTTGCAGGAATTGATGAGTAGCTTCATTCGAAAACGAAACCATAAAAATTTTTTTGTCATTCATATTTCAGCACTCGTTTGTGGAAAGTCAAACAAGCGTCTAATTCCAACATTCCAATAAAAAAAAAGAAATCACGTAGGAATGTAAGTCTGAGGTTTAGGATTTCACGCTATTTCTGATTGGTGCTCACATCACTATTTCAGATTCATAAAATAGTGATGAGAGGAGAAATTAGGTGAAAAGGCTATGAATTTAGAAAGAAATAGGAATTGGAAACGAGATCTATGAGGAACCGATCCAGACTCGTATCATTGCGTATTGATCAAACGGTTCACCGACGATCGTTCGCCGCCGCCGACGTTCCGTTTCTATCCTGTCATCGAGAATGATGAATAAAAAGTTAGCGGGGTATCGTCAAACGACGGATGGTCTGCGAAAAGGATAGGGAACGGTTGAAATGGGATGAGAGCCGTCAATTACGTTGTGGCACAATCGATTCTACCAAGTCAGAGTGAAGAATTAATTCAAGCCGTTTAAAAACTGTGGCGAACAACAATACTCAAAGTGGAGGAAAGAACAATCAAACTTCCCGATTGTTTTCCATTTTTTTAATGTGAGAAACATGAATGATTCAAAGTTTCCGTTTTTCTCTTGGCATTTTCTCCGTTCCCGTTTCATGGGATTATCGATCTTGGGTGTAATCACGAGACCTGGGGGGCACCATTCATTTCTTTTGGAATATATAAATGTGAAAATGCCCCGATCTATTAGGATGTGAATCCGAAGGACTGCGTATCTCTTGAAGCCACCAAGAGAGTGAAAGCTAAAGAAAAAAGAACCGAAGGATCCTCCTGTTCCAGCAACATTGAGCAAGCACATTTAGATTAAAGGACAATAGTAATGAGGTTCCGTAAAGTCAGATCCAAATAAGAGCCCCGTCTGGGGCTTGGTATATTTGACCCTACAAATGGGTACTCTGCAATTTCCTATTTGCTGAAGAAAGTGATCTTGAAACTTCCCCAGCACTTGCTTTATGACATTGCTTTGCTCCAATAAATTCTAACTAGTGACATTTTGATGGCGCTGTGTAGACTAGTGGAGCTGAACTTTTTCCCCCCGTTACCCTAATCCTCTTGTGAATTTTTTGGGTTCTCCCATTCAAATGTGATGGATCCCACTTATATGAACATCTGATGAAATATGGGATATACCATGATTTCAATATATAGAAAGGAACGCTTGAGATTTTCATATCAATACTCAAACATTACACAATCGGCAAGAATCCGTTTCTTTCCAATAATTTTATCGGATACCTAGACCGTAATGCAAAATTCTTGCAGGTTACACCAGCATGTGTAGCGAAAAATGTGAATTAATGGTGCCTCAAAGCGTCTGTATAGAAGTTTCCGCAAAATCGCTCTTGGGATGAATCAGAGAATCAACATGAAAACCGAGAGCAGAGCAACCTGAATCTGTTGGCAATTAAGTGAATGCCACGACAACATATGGGAAACTCGAGTATAGTTAGGAAAGGAACACATTATGAAGCCGCTGAGACTGATTAGCTGGGAGCAGGCATGCTATCTCTAACAGCCTGAAGGGTTTCTGTGTACATGAGGGAGACTCAACAGGAATTTCATAAAAGTGATGGCATTGTGGCATGTCCGGGAATACGTCAATGCTTCTATGAACGGAATGTGAACGGGCAGTTTTAAGGCAAGTTAAGCCCTTGCATATTTTAAGGCTTTCCCATGTCGAATATTTTTGAACCCTAAAATGGAGTCTTTTGAACTAAATAATTGTGCGTTTTCTGTGTGACAAGTTTGTATACGAAATGCTCAGGGCTTTCTGTTCGGACGTTTTGAATGCAGAATTAGAGGGTTTCGTGAGGGAGAACAATCATGGAAGAAGGGTATTCGGACGAAAACTCTTCTTTCCGCTTCCTTTGAGCCGGAAATATGGCCGGCCTTTATATCCTTGACATGAATGCCTTGGAAAGCATGACGAGTGGAAATTGATTGAAAGCTATGGATAAGTCGGCCCGAAAGAAAAGGAAAAAAGGCTCACTGAAGTTATGGAAATGTGAGGAGAAAAATTGAGCGAGGTTTTCTTTGAGGGAGGTTATGTATTGGCGCCTCGAGACTGCGAAAAGTGGTTGTTGAGCTTTAATCCCCCCTTACATAGTTTGTTCAGGTTTCAGGCAATATCTAGAGCCCTACGAATCTGGTTCACTGAGGTATTTCTCTCACTGAAGGATCTTTCTCCGGTTGGTAATGAGGCTATATGGCACGACACTAGGTAGGTGTTACAAAAGATCGATCAAAAGTCAACGGTGTCCATGATAGGTAAACCATTTCCTGAATCCACCTGCGTCTCTTTACATGTACCGGTGACTACCTCGTAGGTGTATCAGTGCATGCGTGTGTGGAGAGTCTGCGAATGCGGTAAGTGTTCTGCACATCAGCTCAGACAAAAGCTGGCTTCCGAGTAACTGGGATGAGCCGATTGACGACTCGTTGCTGCCTCCAATAAATTGGTCCCTTGTCCACGCTAGAATAGCCTGGCAAGCTTTCGAAAGAGGCTGTCAAAACTTCAGAGTCAAAACATGCAGCTCAAAAGGAAGAACTGATTGTAAGATGGATATGTGCAGCAGTGCATCTCCATCTTAAAATCAGTTCTTCCTTTTGAGCTGCAGGTTTTGACTCCGAGAGAACGCTTGCATCGGAAGCGTTTATCGGAGAATTGATGATGCAAGCTGGGAAGATCAAGTACGACAAGAGGCGAGATAGTATTGCCCGCTGCTCGGTACTTTCGAGACTGAAGAAGAACTGCTCCAAAGAACATACGACAGCAGAGGCGTCGGCGATGTACATAGGCGCCCTCGTTAACACGCACTTGGCCATGATTTCGTACGAAAGCTTGAAAACCCGAATCAGAGTTTGAAAAGAAGAGGTTCAACCCAGCTCCATCGAGCTTCGTTGCCTACGCACCATCAAGCTACGAGCAAAAAAAGCTGGAAGCGCTTTATATGCACCCGGTCACTGCTGGTGATCTTGATGGAATGTCCGACCCATAAGAAGAGCAGTCGTGTGTGAAAGACTACCCAAGTTTATCATGTCGACCCACACCATCCATGGTATCTCGCAGTCCTAGAAGCCCTCTCAATTGCGTTGGACTTCGGAGTCACCCGGTGGAAAACCCCACTGAAATGGATTACAACATCTGCAGTCGAAACTTTTGCCAGACTAACGTCGCTCTTGTTCTGAAGTTCTAAACAGGTTCAGACCATCGTTCCCCAGCAATAGGTTCTGGTGGAAACGTAGCTCTGCGACATTTATCACCTGGGATTGTTTCGCTTTCTTTGCGATACGTGTAATCGCTCGAGCATCAACAAACTTCCGAACTTATGCAGAGAAGCGATCAAGGAAATCTGAAGAAGAGAATTTCAGCAGTTATGGACGAAGTCGCCGAGGTCGGACAAATCATTCGCAAAGCCAGCCGGAACTTCGCCAGTTACAAAACCACGATGACTTTCCTTAGTCGTCTTGACGCGTCACTGCATCTCGATGGGCAATAGAGAATTTCATACGCGACTTCCAGAATATCGGAAGAGCATTCCACCATCTCTATCTATGATCTCCACGCGGTGCCCGTCGAAAAGAAAAGAGCCCTTGTCGTGAAAAATCAGCAAGATGGTGTTGCTATATAAAAAGGGAGACTCATACGATGTTGGAAAGTATCGCCCAATTTGCCTGTTGTCTGTAATATATCAAATTTTTCACACGAGTCATTCATGACAGAACTGTTAGAACGGTAAACGACTACAGCCATGTGAGTAGGTACGGTTTTGGTGAGGATTTAGTGCGATTAATCACATCCCCACTGAGACAAACTCATTGAAGTAACCGAGAATACAGGATACTGTTCCGTCCCACGATCAACTATTCGAAGAAGTCCTTAATGTCGTGAAGCGGTAATTGATTCCCCGGGCAACCAGGGTGTTCCCACTAAATAAATAACGATGCTGAGATTCGCAACAATTTCATGTTTAGGATTCCTCCATTCCACCATAAACTCATTGGGTGCTTTCAGAGTTCAGCAACCTGTATTCTTTCACCCACAGACCGACCGACCGACGGCATTGCTGGCCACGTGTTGACAACGGGCAAAAGGTACGAAAAAACGCGAAAATCGCATCGAGATATCCAATGGAAAAGATAAGGCTGAAAGAAAGAAGTAGGACAGGGGTTGGTCGAGAATGTTACGAAAAAAATCTGCATGGAAGGTGTATTTGGACGAGCTGTTCGGTCGTCCGCGTCGTTGCATACAGCTGGCTGCTATATGCTGCCTGCGTGCAAGATGTGATTCCCGATGCAAACGGTACAACCTCTACAGATTTCACAACGCTTAACAGTTCGTCCTCTTTGGCTGTTCCGGCCTTCGTAAACGAGTGAAGATCATAGATGCCGTTGCTCAAAAGTTCTGAACGAAAGAAATGCTATGCCTCGTGTCCCTCGAAAGAAAATGATCCACCGACCTACTCTTGCTAGCGAAAGAGAGATGATCAACAGGACGACAGTGACATAGGTGGCGGGTGATCTGAGTGCAAACTCAAAAGAGCCAACCAATGACAGCATTAAATTGAAAGAAGATATCGAATTGAATGTTCCTTGTTCTTTAAGTATCACCGTATCAAGCGAATTTTCCAATTTACAACAAATTCTACGATTATCATTAGATAGTATTGCCGGTAAGTTATTGAGGGCGGATAAGGTGTAGTGTGAGCACGACAATTCCCAGTGCAAATGAGAGTCTCAACTTTCAGTACGACTGAACCCAGGTTTCATACCGACCTACGCCAAACAAGTCTTCATGGCTCTGGGGTCGGGTAATTGATACCAAACCCTTCTCAGAGAATTTAGGCACCGGCATGTACATCGGCTAGCGACGGCAAGTCATTGTGAAGGCCAAACACGCATTCTACGCCGATGCGATTCTTAGTGGGAGTCTAATGCAGGAGTGCATTCTAGATATGGGATTGGTTAACGTCAAGGACTTTATACTTTATTGTACGAACATAGATTAACGACGATATCATCATGGTCATCACTAATTATGGGATGAGGTGTAAGGTACAGATTTTGATATATATTACTCATCGTAAAGATGAGCAATAGGGTGCCATGACGGTAAAATGGAGCACGTGCTTCCTCGGACGCGTACATTCGGATAATAATAGTTCAGAGCGTGCAATCGGAAATTTATGGAGGAAATTACGAGAGCTCTATCAGCGTCACTGAAAAAAACTGGCTGGGAGGGTGACAGAGAAATCCGTTTATCGCTGAGAACACAGATTAGAATACGCATCAATGCAGGATACCAGTAACTGGCCATACAAAGAGACTAAATTAAGAAGGATCTTACAATCATTTCGAGTTTCACCTTTGAAAATATTAAAAAAGTGAAATGGCGATTACCATCTAATTATGAATCGTCTAGGACCGTTTGTGCACTAAGCATGCGGATGTCCCCAATATTAAAATTACATAAATAGGGTAAAGTAACAGTCATACGCTTCTGCGATGCTCATGGAGCACCCTGTTTCAAAAAATCGCTAGAACGGATGGTTTGAATGCCTATTTTTGAGTAGCTGCCACGGATTCCAGACATAACGGCATAAAGGTTGAGGAGGAGGAGACGGCAGCAACACGAATAGCCGTGCATGTAAAATGAGAGGGCTTGAAACAAGAGATAACGTCACATCAGGGACAAACTGGCTTTAGTTGCACTTTCAAGCTCGATTTAAGCTCGTCAATCAGGTCATCAATCTGATTTTTCGGAATCCTCGGCACTTTAAGAGACAAATAAATTGCCACACAGGCAAAATGCTGGCCATCAATAGGGCATCAATATTTTTTCCCCTCTTTCATCTCGAAGCTGAAGGTTGAACCAACAAGGGGGAACGATAGAGTAATATTGAATAGCTTACTATAGAATAGCTTTTCACCAAAAGGAGATTTTCGTGGACAGTGTACGATTGCCTTTAATTGGGTTTGTGGATCAAACGAGCAAGGAAGAAAGTGTGGTTTTGCAAGGGAAAATCAGAATTGCTCATAGTTCCAGCGTCCTGGGTAGATAATTTGATTATGAAAACTGTATAATTCCTAGTTCTTCTATTCCTCACTTTTTATGCAGCCAATAGGGTATCTAGGCGAATCCAGTGTGAGGACTTCAGAGCAAATTCGTGAAAAAAAACTGAGGCTCACAAATGGTTTCAATAATCCTACTCATAGACGCAAATGCTTCAGATCCATCAAGAATGTGTGAGAGGAAATTAACGCAAGAACAAGATGAATATGTCTCATTAGTCGTTCAAAGAACACGACAGCCGCGTGATTTCTTAAGAGACTTGCTGAGTTTTTTCAAACCTAGTATAATCTTATTATAAAAATCTAATCTTATTATAAAACAGAGCTCAAACATTCAGCTAGTCATCAAAATAGCATTGCAGGTACACTTAGGAAAACCTGGCTGACAACCAATCTGCTACCGATACTGGTTCTGGATTAGGCCATGTACACAACCTATTTTTCTACCCCTTGAGGAACACAAAAATGCATTCTGAACCATTGTTACGTCTTTGCAACAAATCTGTTTATCTACTGAAAGGAATGATCCTTGGGGCTTCTGCACATAATTCTGGAACAGTTTCGTGACATTTTAATTTCTCTTACATTGGTATAGAAAATGAGGAATCAGATACATCAGGTTTTATGTGAATAGCAGATGAATCGTTTTGTTTGGTCGGCCTCAGTGTAAATCGTTTTTTCAACTTGGAAGTGTTACTATACATGCTTCAAAAAATCTTTGGAAGAATTGACGATGTTTCTTCAGATTAAGTCGAAGGAACTCGAATAAGAGATATGAAGGGTAGTAAAAACAGCTCTTCAAACACTTGCTTCTTTCTGAAGCACATGAGGGTAAATCGATTACTTTTGGTTTCATAAATGAGTTAAACCCAAAAGCATCAGAGCGCTCTAGCCAGTCTATTCATGGTATTAAGAGGTCCAGATTATCCCAGCCCCGTGCCGTCATGTAACCGCTCAAAAGCTGAGCAACAGCACAACGGTTTTCTGGACCTTTTTAGAAAACGTGCTCAGAGAGTGAAGGTGATTCCAGGGGTTAGAGACGAATTCCAGCGCAATTAGGACACAAATACACATGGAAAAACGAAAAAGAAGTTTATGTAGTGTGTAATAATAGAAATAGCAAATAAGTCGAATCGAAAACGAGACCAGGAGTCTTCGAGGAACAGAAATCACTGTGGATACTAGCACCACTACGAATAACCTGACTGTTTTTGTGGTCTAGGATCCTCAAACAAATTGAGAATAACGAAGTGAGCCTGAACATAAAGCGAACGGCTTAAAACGCTTCCGTGCCATTCACCCCCAAGCATCTTAATGAATTCTGAGGGATCCAGGCATGAGAAATCAGACTTGTGCAAAAACGACGTTAGCACACTGCTTTCTCTGTTGGCGCTGTCCGATTTGATTACGAATTGCACGTCATAGAGAATAGCCTAGCGGACGACGAGGATGACATTAGTGTTGCTTTGACTGCAGATCCGAAACGAGCAGAAAGATTTGGAGTCCCAAGGCAATTAAAGAAATTAGCCTTAAATTTAGTAATCTTGCTAGTTCAGTTGAATAGTGTCAGCTGTGTTACCAACCTCCAGAAAAGAATGGAAGGGTGAAAAAATTCCTTGAAAATGAAGCTCTTTCTAGCATCGTCTTTTTAACCCTTCCATGCTCAACCTCTCCTCCCAGAAACTCATTTGGAAGCTTCTGAAGAAATTGAGTGAGAAACTCTGTTTACTGTAAAAACACAATCTCTCCTAGTCTTCCGCCGATTTTCGCAAAATTCTCTCTGCTATATAGTGG